TACATGTATTACTACTAAGATACTTTTATAATGTTTTTACTTTGCAGAAAAAAGATGTTGACATTACTTTGCTTGACACAATTATCACCAGTACCATTATTGCTGTTAAACAACTGAAGTTAGTACCAGGACAATATATGCAGAATTTGGATTCTTATATTTCTGAAAATCTATCACCATTCAGTATTACAGTCACAGAACAGATGAAAACAGATTTCAGGTCACAGGTAAATATTTTATTAAATTTTAAGCAAATGAGAAACATTATTTTAATTATCATTGTGTTTTTTTATTTTTTTTACTGAATTGTTTTCTTCTTACTTTTAGGTGTATAACAAATATATTGATAATATTTGCCAGAATTTAGAGGCCAGGTTTCCAGATGTACAGTTGATTAGTGCTTTCTCTATATTTGATCCCAGTTTGGCTGAGGATGATGCCTGTCAGGAGAAACTTGATGTAAGTAGATTTGTTGTATAACATAGATTTGTGTAGATTGCTGTATTCAATACAATTTATATTAGATATTATTTTGTGGAGTCATCTAATCTTGTTTTTTCTGTGGCAGATGTTGATTGATCATTATCAAATGAATGGGGAGGCAATAAGAAGTGAATACACATTAATACAGACAGCCATGATGACAAGTTACACTGATTACAAATATAAAGACATGCTGAAAACAATTATTACAAAGTATAAAGATTTAACTCCTGGATTACATTACCTAGCTGCAGTGGCACTCACACTACCAATATCAACAGTTGGTAAGTACATTATATCATCAGAGTTATGTATTTATATCAAGTTTATTTGTTTCAAACTTCATTTCTACATGTAAAATCTGAACTCTTTTCACCTGTAGATTGTGAACGAGGGTTCTCAGCTGTATCAAGAATAAAGACCAATCTGAGAAATAGACTTTCTGAAAAAATATTAAGATGTTTATTATTCATAAGTGTAGAAGGACCACCAATTGAGAAGTTTGACTTCAAGGCTGCTTCAGATGCATGGGCAATGACCAAGACAAGACGACTTCAATTAGATTAAATACAGAAAAAATAGATGATGTTTGAATATTATAGTTTGTGCTTGAAAATGTAATATAGTTGTATATATGTATAATGTTAATAAATATGTGTTTTTGTGGATGTAAACCTGCTTTGGTCTTTGTAATTCATATGTAAATTTCTATTATTATGTAAATGATATGCAAATTATATGCAAATTAGGCCGCCACAGTGGTTTAAATTCCTGGGGAGAACACT